CGCAGTGAGCACCGGTCTAGCTTGTGTGGTTCATGTTCAGTTGAGTTACCATGATTTACATCCTCCCAAATGCTCTGTCGGGTCGGAATGTGGGGGGCCCTTAGAGTTGGAGTTCAGCATTTGGAAGAATGAATAATAAGTACACACAATTAATTAAAAGATATGTCTCATTTTAATTAAAAAATATTTATTTTTTAATTAGACTACAAATTATACTAAATTATTAAAAGATATGTTATAACTAAAATTTTAAATTGATAATTAAAGTTTGTTTCATAAATATTGGTATATATTTTGCATCACAAACACTAATAACTACCAATCACTTAAATTTTTACAATTAATAATGATATAATTTTATAATCTCCACTAAATAAATAATATAAATATTCACATGCATTAAACATCTAAAACTAATTATTATTCGGAATGAGGATGACTCCAATGTCGCTATTAACAATCAATCAATGATTAATATCTAAACTTAACATGCCGTGGTGCCTGACGGTTTATGAGAATTTATCTGGGCAACTGGAAGATGCGAATGAGATCAAGAGGTGTCTGTCTATTTATGAGAATTTATCTGGGCAAGTGGTTAACTACCACTAGTATATGTTATAGCAAAAATAAGAGTTATACAGACAGGGAAAGTGTGGCTCAGGTTTTGGGGGTGGGGCAGGTTCCGAATTTTGACAAATACTTGAGACTTCCTTCTTTTGTTGAAAGAAACAAGAATGCAGCTTTCGCATATATTGAGGATAAGATTCGCCAAAGGATTGGATCGTGGAATAAGAGATTGCTGTCACAAGCAGGAAATGAGATCCTATTGAAAAGTGTAGCACAATCTATGCCTACCTTTTCAATGAGTGTCTTCCTATTGCCACTGTCAGTGTGCACGGCGATTGAGAGAACTATGAATAGATACTGGTGGGACTCTGGAACTGACAGACGAATACATTGGAAGACATGGGATAAGTTGTGTATTCCTAAGAAATACAGAGGGTTGGGTTTTAAAGATTTACGTGCTTTTAATCTAGCTATGTTGGGGAAACAGGCTTGACGGATGCTTACTAAACCTGAATCCCTAGTGGCTCGTGTCTATAAAGCCCGCTATTTTGCCAAGGGGACTTTTTTTGATGCACAGGTAGGGAATAATCCCAGTTTTTGTTGGCGGAGTATTATGACAGCTAAGAGTATAATTTGTAGTGGGGTAAGACGCAGAATTGGAAATGGGGAGTCTACACTCATATGGACTCACCCCTGGTTACAGGATGAACAAGACCCCATGATACAAACAGAAATGTCAATACAGTTATAGGGGCTAAAGTGGTGGGATTGATTGATCAACAAACTGGTACATGGGATCATTCTATTCTAAAACGGATTTATTTCAACCTACTGATGTGACAAAAATTATGAGAATACCTGTTTCCCCAGATTATAATGATACATGGTACTGGCATGGGGATTCGAGAGGAATATATTCTGTGAAAAATGGGTACAAGCTAATAGTGGGAAATTATGAGAGTAATAGTGGGACTTTTACCAAATGGTTGACCTATGGAAGCTCAAAATCCCCCAAAATGGAGAATGTTTCTTTGGAGAGCCGTTTGTGATATATTGCCTACCACTAATAATTTGCTTATAAAGAGAGTGGATGTGGATCCATATTGTGCCATGTGTGGGATATCACAAGAGGATACAATGCATGCATTAGTGTTGTGTGAATTTGCAAAGAACATTTGGGAACAATCCAACCTTACGACCCCTAATATTGTCACAAATATTTTTCATGTTTGGTTTGGTGAACTTCTAAATGTTTTAGATTCTGATGGGATATTTTATGCAGCATCGATTCTATACAATATTTGGAGAGCACGAAATGGGGCGGTTTGGGAGGCATGCCTACCACGACCAATTTCGTTACTCAAAGCCGCTACCGCCGCCAAACATGCACGGAGCCAGACCCATCCGATTGATGCTGCCCGATCTGCTCCTCTAACAGCTGCAGCACCACCGGGCCAAGAGGGGGAAGACGTCCATGCCGAACAGTTTGCAGGAAAAGATGGCCATGCTGCCGAACAGGTTGCGCCGGCGCTAAGGAGGTGTCGAGTCGACGCTGGCTATCTTCACGAAACGGGAAAGACTACTGTTGGGGCAATCCTGCTCGACGTGAATGGAGGCTACATCTCGGCCTACACTGCACCACTTCCGAATTGTTTCTCACCGCTTATGGCCGAGGCGTTGGCATGCAAAAGGAAGCTTTATCATGGTTAAAGGATCGGGGAGAACAGAATATCGAGGTATACACAGATTGTTTGACACTTCTACGCTATCTTACTACACCATCCGCTGCGTTCCGTTCTTACGTTGGCTATGCCATTAACAGTTGCAGACAAACCGCAACTTTATTTCAATCTTGTTCATTTAAATTTATTTCTAGACTAGACAATTATTTAGCTCATGCATTAGCTACTATGGCTTATCTGCTGCTATGTACTGGGATCTTCACCCACCAGACATTATTTCAGCTTATTTCTAATGAAGCACCACATATATTTTTCAAAAAAAAAAAAAAAACTTAACATGCCGTGCATGCATAAATCGTTTTGAGAGTTTTTAAGTTTGATTATTTAATTAAAAATTGATTGTTGGATTACGTGTACTAAGTGGCTTTATGTGCAAGCAAATTAAATTATTTCTTCCCAATAAATAATTCGATTACAAGACAAACAAACAATTTTTTTAGAGGATATATATGATAAGTTTTTAAATGTATCTTAAGGTTTATTAATAAAAAAAAATGGTAATTATTATATCAATTTTTTAGTTTTCAACATTTAAACGTTAGTGCAAATACAACATGCAGCAGGAGGAGGAGGTAGGGTGTAAGATCAGATGAAGAATGATGACGATGATGATGATGATGATGATGAAGAGATCAATAGTAAGAAGTAAAGTGATGAAATAAAACAATAATAATTATAATAATAATAATGGGACTTAATATAATAAAGTAAAAACATTATATTATAATCAATTAAGCAGTTGAAGATGATGACGACTTTCTGCCATAGAGAAGCACCATGACATGATGATTAGTAGTAGCAAAGGTTGAGGGATGTGCCACGCATGGCCAAGCTTGGCCGCGCCGGTCACGGGACATAGAGTCTTGGTGTGACTCTCATGGCGGTTCTATTAAAAATAGGATCATGTTTAATAGTTTAAATTTGAATCTTCATCGTTTTTGTTTCGAGATACAATCTAAATATAATAGAGTAAAATGAGAAAGACAAAGACAATATATAATAGAGAGTCAAGAACATATGGGGAGATAGATTTTTTTTAACATTTTAGATTTTGTTATAATGATACATAGATATTCTTATTTATAAGGGAAAATTGCATCTTTAGTCTCTGAGTTATAACCAAGTTCAAACTCAGTCCCTAAGTTATGGTCGTATCCGAATTTAGTCCCTAAGTTATGAGCGAAGTGGCGGGTTTTGTCCCTATCATTAATATTCTGTCTGCAGCTAACGGAAAACTTAAAAACAATTCAATAATTCTCGTCCAAAAAAAAAACAATTTAATAATAGAGGTGTAAAATAGGAATTTCAAATTATAATCCCCTTCTTATGTTGATACTCATTGCGCGACTGTCATTCTTTCTTTTTATACCTACAACCGAAGGTTTTTTTCTTTCCCAAGCTTTGAAATCTCAAATTCATCCACTTCCAAGCTGCGAAATTCACAGGTAAGTTGTTTCTCTATTTTATATGTTTAAATAAATAATCAATATTCTCTGTATTGATGAACTAATTTAGCCATTAATTATAGTATGTCATCTCTTAGTTGTGGTACTTCATATTCCCTCAATTTGGGGATAATTTTCGATGTAGATGTGATGATTTAGTACCCATCAAAATGTCATGGAGTTATGCAAATCGAGGGAAAAGATACCAAGTTTAACCATGTTATAGAGTAAATTTTTGCATTTGTCAAAAAATTGTAATCTAAGTTTTTTTTTTTTTTTAATAAATAGAATTGAAATATTGAAATTTGATTTTTTAGAAAAATGGGAGTAGGGTTTCTTCGTTGATTACATAAGCAACTTAGGGCTTTTGTCGATTTGGGAGAAAGTATTTTGGCTAAGTTTACAAGTTTTATTAAGGAATTTACTTCTTTACCCTGGAATTAACTTTGTCAACACACCACTAGCGTCAGGGACCAATCTCGCCACTTCTCTCATAACTGAGGGACTAAAAATGGATACAGTAATAACACAGGGAGCCTGGGACTGAGTCGTCACTACGGTTATAACTCAGAGACCAAACTCGTCATTTTCCCTATTTATAAAGGTATAAGAAACATAATCCAAAAAGACATAATAATATAGAAGTCTAGAAGATCATATCTGATCTAGAAAATCTCTAGAAATTCATACGTGAAAAATGCATGTATGTGTAGGGCATGCGTAATATTGTTATAAGAGCAACCCCAATAGATGTTCTTTGGCGATTTTTTTGCATAAAAAAAAGTTGAATGTTGAGTCTACAAAAAACTGATGAAAAAACCTCAACGTTTGAGGTTGCTCTAAAGCTCTCCCACAATAATTCACACAAATAACTATTAAAAAGATGACATTTTTAGGTGATTAGCTTCATTTTAGAATTTTTTATATCACATGCATCACATTTTTGTCATTGTAAAATATACTTAATTTTGAAAATAAGAGCTATGGCATAATTTTATGAGTTAATTGAAGCAAAATCATGATATGATCAGCTCATATAAGTGTTTTTAGTAATCAAAGAAACCCACAAAAAATTACACCAGAATTGAAATAAATCAGTCTAACGTTACCATTCAAACCAAAAGGATTAATAAACAACTCCAACTATTAAGAGTTAATCTAGCTTAGCTTGTAGCATTATTGTGGTTACCCACTCAATAGCTAGTCTAACCAACTTCCCAACTCTATATAAGTTTGGACATCCAAACTCAAGAAAACATAGCAGACTATATTGAGCTAGCCAGCCATGGCCACTTCAACTCATCCAATATCGTCCACCAAAAACATTTCCTTCATCTCCACCAACTCGTCTTCTCCCCGTAACTTTTCCAGACGACCTTCCCAAATCTTTCTCAACCCCAACCCCAGCAGGGCAGCAAGACGTGGTGACGTCATCAAGATCCGGTGCGCTGCAGCCTCGTCGGAGGGGCGTGAAAACCCGGCGGACAGCAGCCTCTCTGAGGCGAAACTTGACCGGAGAAATGTCCTTCTGGGCCTCGGCGGCCTCTACGGCGCTTACAACATCGCCGGCGGCTCCAACCCCTTTGCCCTTGCCTCCCCTATCCCGCCCCCTGAAACTAAATCCTGCGGCCCTGCTACCATTTCCAACAGCAATGGTAAGCCCGTCCCATACTCTTGTTGCCCTTCCACCCTCATGGATACTGCCAGTGCTGACTACTATAAGATCCCCAGTTTTTCCAAGCTTAATGTCAGGCCGGCCGCTCACGCCATAGACGACGACTACTTGGAGAAGTACAAGACCGCCATTCAGAAAATGAAGGATCTCCCCTCCGATGATCCCCGAAACTTCTACCAGCAAGCTAACGTCCACTGCGCTTACTGCAATGGCGCTTATCAACTCGCCGGCAAGCCCTATCAGATCCACTTCACCTGGCTCTTCTTCCCTTTCCACAGATGGTACTATATATACTATACGCACTTTTACAATTTATTATATTTTAAATCTCACTGAAGCTGCATGAACAACGTACGAACATAAAACGAACCGAAAAACAGTAAACACTACCGGAAATTATGGAATTTCCGACCACCTGAAAGTTAAGTAGAAAGTCTTGTTCCGATCACTTTTGTATTGGAAAAAACCTGTATTGCTATTTCCGGCCACTTTTTACTTTCAACTTGATTTAAGATCAGGTGGTGGAAAATTTCATAATTTCCAAAGGAGTGAAATAATGTTATTTATGTATCCTCAGGTACTTGTACTTCTACGAAAGGATCTTGCAAAGTCTGATAGACGACCCAACATTCACGTTGCCGTACTGGAACTGGGACAATCCACAGGGCATGATTCTCCCGGAGATCTTCGACGACGACGAGGAATCGCCGCTGTACGACAAGAAGCGCAACCAGGCCCACCGCAGGGGATACGTGACGGATCTAGCATACGCCGGCCAAGAAACCTCCGCCAGCGACTTCCAAAAGGTGAAAAACAATCTGGCGATTATGTACCGGCAAATGTTGACGAACGCGCCGTGTCCGTTGCTGTTCTTTGGCAAAGCTATTCGCAAAGAAACGGGGGACACCGGTCCCGGCATGGGGACCATCGAGAACGTCCCGCACAACTCTATCCACCGATGGGTGGGTGACCCCAGAAGTCCTCATAATGAGAACATGGGTAACTTCTATTCTGCTGCTATAGATCCGGTGTTTTATTGCCACCATTCCAATGTAGACCGCATGTGGACCATTTGGAAGACTCTCGGTGGCAACCGGAAGGATATCACCGACCCCGATTGGCTCCAAACTGAGTTCCTCTTCTATGACGAAACCAAGACTCTCGTCAAGGTTAAGGTTGAAGATTCTCTGGACAACGTGAAGCTTGGCTACACTTTTCAGGTATATTCTCTTCTACTATTTGTCTCCAATCCGCCGCTAATATTATAATTAAATCTATTGTCATTTTGGGAGTTGTTATACCATGTACCCTGGTCCTAAACTACGTATAGATCAATCCTTATGCTGTGGAATCGTTTGCAAGGTGAACATGATTCTATATTCATAATTATTGAACTCTATATTACAGAACTCTATTTTCATAATTATTGAATTATATGTTTATAATTTTTTAACTTCATATTCACAATTATTGAATCTCTATATCCATAATTACAGAACTATATGTTTATAATTATGTTCACAACGCTATGTTCATAATTTTTGAACTATATATTCATAATTATGAACAGTTTTGGAACCGTTTGCGAGGTGGACACGGTTCTTAATTAGCCTGACGTGAGCACGGGGAACTAAGGCAAATTATGCTGTGAGCACGTGCCCATCTTGCAAGGTGGGCACGGTTTTATATCCTAATTTCTATACTGTAGATTCATAATTTCTATACTGTAGATCCATAATTTATATACTGTAGATTCATAAAATTTAGACTTTAGATTCCAATTGTTGAACTCTGTTTTCACAAATCAGAGAACTATATGTTCATAATTTGATAACTATACAATTTATAAATTATGAATGTACAGTACAGATATTATGAATCTGCAATATAGAAATTATGAATCTACTGTATTTAAATTATGAATCTACGGTTTAGAAATTATGAATCTAAAATATAAATTTTATGAATCTACAGTATAGAAATTATGAATATGGAACCGTGGCCCACCTTGCAAGGTGAGCACGTGATCACAACTATATCAAAATAATAATGAATTCAACTCATTGGTGACAATAGTATTTAGGAGAAGAGATCCATGTTTGAAACGCGACAATGTGTTGGGTATTATGCCCAAAGTGGGTGTGCACGACATTTGGTCATGTCTGTTTAATTATCACTTTACATTGATTTACACCCTCCTAAATGCTCAGTGGAATTGGGGTATGCGGAGTTCTTGAATAGGGAATCCAGCCTTTTGGGAAGAAAAATAATAATATTTGTTTAAAAATCTACTCCGTGTTTATTTATTTTTCTCTCTCTAATTACTAATTAGTACCATGCATGCATGCATGGCTTAATTATCTGGCAGAAAATGCCCACTCCATGGAAGGACTTCAAACCCACAAGGAAAAGAAGGGCAAAATTGAGGAGCAAAGCGTCAGTTTCCGCATCCACTAGCGTCTTGCCGGCAACCTTGAACAAGATTACAACGTTCTGCGTGACGAGATCGCCGACATCGAAAACCCCGGGGAAGGAGGAGCTGCTGGATCTCCACCTAGCCTTCGACGACACGCAGTTTATACGGTTCGATGTGTTCGTGAACGAGGACGACGACGTGAATACCAAGGAGCTGGACAGGGTCGAGTACGCCGGCAGTTTCTCCAACTTGGCACATGTGCATAAAGACACCTCCACTACTGCCAATTCTACAATCAAGACGCCGACGTTTAGCCTGGCCATCTCGGAGCTGCTTGAGGACTTGCGGCTGGAAAATGACGACAAGATTCTGGTGACTTTGGTGCCAAGAGCTGGGGGTAGTTTCGTCACCGTCAACAAGGCCTATACCGAAATTATCGATTGCTAAGATCGATCTATCCCATCCTATCCTATCCAGGAATATAATAGAATGCCGACAGGCATGTATGTATGTATATTCATGTTGTTCGTGCCTCCGTACCCGTGGTGCTACTTGAAATAAGCTAAGGTGTTTAATTGTTTGATGTAATAATAAGTGCTCACTCCACAAATCCTATCAGTTCAGAGTGTGGGAATTCCGGACTAGAGATTTCGCCTTTGTGAGCAAGTAACGTGTTATGCATGTGTGTATTGTACTGTGTAGTGGTTGGTAAGAATTGTGGGTTCTGCAATTAATAATTGTAATATCTATCTCCTTTTCAGTGTAATAAATAGTGTTTTTGTTGTTGTCTTGTTTCGAATTGAAATTCTATATATTATACCTACCTCATCTCATTTTATATTTTTATTCCATACCTGTCATACTCATATTAATTCATGATTGATATATGTGCAGTGGACGTCAGTGGTTAATCTTCTACCAGCAAGCTAACGTCCACTGCGCTTAATGCAATGGCGTTTATCAACTCGCCGGCAAGCCCTATCAGATCCACTTCACCTGGCTCTTCTTCCGATCCCTTTCCACAGATGGTGCTAAACTATACGCACTTTTAGAATTTTAAATCTCCACACCAATAATTATTGAGAAGAATCACAATTTCTATATATAGAAATTGCTGCAGGTAGAGAAGGCGGCCTGGTCGTTTTCTGTTAACATCTTTAGGCCTCCCCTCAATAATTTCTTAATTATCTGATCTAGTAACATCTCAAACTTGTAACTTGTGCTCTTATTAGATCAATGACTTACCACTATGACAAAAGTTATGATTTTTAACATAGTGGTGAGCAGCACTTAACCTTAATACATTTTAAGGGCATCCTCAATAGTTGGAGATTTTTCCTCAGATTTTTGTGGTTCCTAACATCCACCTCATCATCAAGTATCTTATTCAATTACAAAAAACTTTCTTTCCATTAGTTTTAAATTTTTTTCACAACTTTTGGTGGACCCACCATTTTATCTCCATTCTTTATTTATTATTATTATAAAAATTATAATTATAATTAGAATTATTATTTTTATTATATTTAAATTACACATATCAAAATTAAAATAAGTTGAAAATTATAAATGTTTACAGTTTTTTTAAATATAATTTTATTGCATAAAAATTTAATAACAAAATTAAACAAAAAAAAATTAAAAATTAAAAATAAACTGGCCAGCTAAAAAAAATAGAATATGTAATCAGCTGGCTGTGCTTAAAAAAGGAAAAAATAAATAAATTTTAGAAGCTTCAACCGAGAGTGGCCGCCAGCTCAAGTCTCAATGGCCCAAGTGGGCTCCGTGCACTGACATCTGTTTTTTTTTTTTTTTCTTTTTCTTTGTCTCTTACAAAACCCCAAGTTTTGCAGAAGAAAAAACTCTCCAAAATTTTGACATCCCATTAGTTAAAAGCCTTAGCTTGCTCCTGGTTTTTTACTATTTCAAAATTCATCCAAAATATGCTATTGGGATGCCCTAACGGGCAGTAATTGGTCCCCTAATATAAGTCTCACATGAATCTTCTTGAAACCCTAATGACTTGGTAGGCTATGATAATAAATAATATGTAACATGTTGATAAGTTTAATTATAACTTATAAAAGTTAAGCCTAATTGACTTTTGTATAAAGTTTCTAAGAGCTTAATTATATTATTTCACTTTTTTTTCCTACTAATAAATAATGTTTTATATATATTTATATATATATATATATATATATATATATATATATATATATATTGTATCATCAGGTACTTGTACGTGTTTTATTGCCATGCCACCATTCCAATGCATACAATTTGTATCCATGGTGTTTTTTTGTTCTTCTACCTTGTCTCTATCTATTATTTCAAACATCCTCTCCCTCAAGTAGGGGTGTGCATTCCGTTAATCATGAATTAACCAAACCTTTTAAACCCTTTAACTATTAACTAAATCAAAATTTCTATTACCGAATTAATCGAACCAAACTTTTATTTTCGCTTAACCAATTAACTCAAGTTTTTAAACAAATTTTGACATTCTTCAAAATTCAAATTATAAATAAAAATTAGCATTTAAAAACTGTAGTCAACACACAACTGGAAACTTTAATTTTTACAAAATGAAACTCTTTGCTCCACAATAAAATTTTTGAAGAGGCTAAAGAAGAGAACTGAAACCACGGGTATGATTACATGAATTAGCCTCTAGACAGAATAATTAACCCTAAACAATGTTGTAACTGTAGTGAACGTTCTACATTTTCAAAGTAATGTACAATATCATCATTGTTGCAATCTAAATAAAATTAAAGGTGAAACTCCTATTCTATAATCTAGCTCTATGATTCTATCACTCGCTCATTCAATATAACTTGATATCTTATCAGAGAAACAATTGAAAGTGGCATTAACTGTTCTATCTATGAAAGCCGTCGTGGAGCAGATGGAACTCACCGCCCGTCGGAGCCTCGGAGGGGACTCGAGTTTGGAGCGGTAGTGGGCTGGTCGGCAGCCGTCGCCGTCGGCTGGAGGCGTGGAGAAGAACGGCAGAACGTAGTCTGGAGTGGTGGAGGGCTACGGCAGCGGCAGGGGCGCAGGGCCGAAATTAAATTAGCAAACGCAAACTAGCTAGGGCTAGATTGATTTCAGATTTGATTTTAAAGTTTATGGGGTTTATTTGTTGTCATGAAATGCAATTCTAATGTAATTCTTCCAAAAGGTTGAACCCCAACACTAAGGGCCCTACATATCTCGATGCCACAAAGTATCTGAAAGATGTAAATTATGGTAACTTAACTGAGCATGAACCATAGAGGCTAGACCTTTGCTTACTGCGCCCAGTGGATACATTAATTCTAATGTAATTCAATAAAAGGATAAGCAACATTTTTTGGTTTGAGGATCCTCTCAATAGGGGTGTGCATTTCGGGATTCGATTTGAATTTTTTTCAATACATAGGGCAATTCCAACACTGCTGGAAATCATCAGATTTCCGACCACCCAAAAGTGGTCGGAAACAGCCTAAATTGGGTCGGAAACCGTGTTTCCGACCACTTTTCTGACCAAAATGGGGATCCGGAAAAAGGCCCGTCGCTAATTCCGACCACAATAGAGAGTGGTCGGAAACAACGAGCACATTTTTTTAATCGTCGGAAACAAACGACGGGTTTGATACTTGGACGGATCCATATTTCTGACCACCATGTGGTCGGAAATTCCACGATCGGGCGATCGGAAATTTGGAACCAAGATTTCGTTCGTTCCAGATTTCCGACCCATGGTGGTCGGAAACTAATAAATAAATAAATATTTTTTTTTTTTTGTAATTTACAATTTCTATTGCTACTTTTCCTACAAATTATACACTGCTTTACCAATTTTAAAACTAGTAATTTCATAACACAAATATTATACATTTCAATATCAAATTTAATTATACATAATGTTGCAATTCTAATATCCACCATCATTCAAAATGTGCTAATACAATCAAAATATTTCCTAAATCACAAAAAAGTTAGAAGCTTGGATCTATTGCTGAAGATCATCTAACCCATCACAAAAAAAAAGTTAGAATCTTGGATCTATTGCTCAAGATCATCTAACCCATCACCAAAAAAAAAAAGTTAGAATGTTGGATCTATTGCTCAAGATCATCTAATCCAACACCACTATTTTCATGGCTAACGGCGGGATTAGTAGACTGAAAAGAAGGTTGATTTGCACCACGAATTGCAGCAAATTCCGCTTCTAACCATGCCATTTTTTCCTTCATTTGCTTGTCATGTCCAAGACCAAGCTTTGTAAGTAACTTTTTTGCATCATAATACCTGGTAGGTACTCGATTATCGGGACCCATCAAATGGTTAATATACTGAAATATCTGATCCATTGCTAGCTGTGGTATATTAAAAGTTGTCTTGATATTCATCATCCTCAATGTATATGCCAGCTCTGTTTCTTCATTAACATTCATTGATAAAGGTTGTCTCGCAGCATCTAACAATTCGTAGAAGTTTTTTGCACTACTATGTGGTTTTTCATCTTGGTCATTTTCGACATTTAATGGAAAAAATGATGGACTAGATGCATCAAAAACCATTTGTTCATATTGGTTATTTTCACTAGGGCCCTCATTCATGTGTGGTTGTATTGAAGGTGGAAGCTCACCGTGACATGTCCAAATCCAATAACTTGGTTCAAAACCCTTCCTATATAAATGAACACGAACATCATCTGCAGACAAGTGTACTCTATTCTTACACTTACTACATGGGCACCTAATCTTCATTGAAGCCTTGTATACAGGAAGTGTGCTTGCATAATTTACAAATTCCTCAACACCCAATAAGAACTCATCTGTGTACCCCCTTTTTCCGGGTAACAATCGATTATACATCCATTTCCGATGTTCAGGTATATTAGCCATGTAAAACAACTGTAAAAACATATATACAGTGCAAACACAAATATAAAAGTATTAAAAATAATACTAATATTTTAAATAATCATATACACTCATACTAATAATTAGACACATATAAAATGTCATTTGTAAAAAGTACAAATATATAAATAATTATAAACATACTCACATATACATATATGCACACTATACATTCTTCAATCATATTAAAATAAATAATCTAAATAAGTATTCACAAAAATATATTTAAAAAATCAAACTAGATCTAAGGAAAAAAAAAATCATACTAGTTAATAGACACACATATAAAATGTAATTTTAAAAATGTACAAATATACAAATAATTATAAACATATTCACATAAATACACATATACATATATGCACACTATACATTCTTCAATCATATTAAAATAAATAATTTAAATAAGTATCCACAAAAATATATTTAAAAAATTAAACTAGATCTAAAAAAATTCACACTAGTAAATAGACACACACATATAAAATGTAATTTTTAAAAAGTAAAAATACACAAATAATTATAAACATATTCACATACACACATATACATTCTTCAATCATATTAAAATAAATAATCTAAATAAGTATTCACAAAAATATATTAAAAAAATTGAACTAGATCTAAAAAAAAAGTCTTGATAAATAGTAGATTTAAGAATGTAAACACATACCTTAACTTGATATGATGTAGTACAACTTGCTTTTAACACTATTATGCATGAATTATTGAAAGAAAACCTGCAAAGAAGAAAAAAAGCAGTAGAAGGGGGTAAAAAACAGAGAAAATAGGTCTGGAAATACGCAGTGGAAGCATTTATATATAAAGGTATTTCCGACCACCATTAATTGTCGTCGGAAAAAATATATTTAAAATTCA